AGGCACGTTTATAAACCGAATAACTTAAGTAATTTGTGGATTTTCGAACTGGTTCGACCGGTTCACTAAGAAGATCCGGTTAAATAGAACGATTCGTTCGCGATCCGGACATCACTAGACGAGACAAAACCAATAAAACCCATTACAAACGAGGCATTTGTTGCATCCAGTGGGGACATAATTACGGATTATAATGACTTATACTGTCTTTTTACGCGTTGCGTTGCATCGCGCCACGTAAACATAAAACCATGTCTGCATTTGTGATCGGAGAAACAACAAACAACAAGCCTACTCTACATTGCTCAAAACTCGCGTTTGAATCATCATTGGCAAATTATTTAAATATAAAAAAACGTACTTACAGGCTGTGAGTCAGAAGCACCAGACTGTCCTTGCAAACAGCCTTTGTGCCACAGAAGTATTAGGCTACTGGTTCAGGAAACAGTCCTCATCCATCCTCCATAAAATGCGCAGCACACATCTGAATATTTGGGTTGAACTGTTCTGGAACAGTGTTGTAAATACAACTTAACCACTGATTTCTAGTCGTGTCCTTTTTTGGAAGGCCAAACAAAGTAGTTTCGCTTTCACAACGAAACACACAGCGACTCCACAACATGGCAGCGGCGGCAACAGCGAGAATAAAAGTTACGCCTTCTTTCTTTGCGTGAACATTTGGGCGGCGTTATGCAAATCTTCCCACATCGTGACGTAGACGTGGGGGCGTGTTAGAACGAGCCGTTTTAGGTAGGAGTGGTTGACTCTTAACTTTTATAAAGAATATCTCTTTGGATTTGAGACTTTAGTCTTTGCAACTTTACAGATCTTCTTTATGCACCAAGAGCTTGTAACACTCCAAAGAGAAAGGAAAAATTGAAATCGCATCATATGACCCCTTTAAGCAGAATCTATGAACATATTAAAGCAATGATTACATGATGTGATCATAGTGATCAAACACATAAGATGCAATCAATGCAGCCCGATTCACAAACAAATGACTCTAAGGCACATACAGTGCAACCACTGTAGACTAATTCCCTCACAAGTGATTTTGATGAGTTGGTTCTTTTTAGTGAATCAAGCACATACCATGCAAACAGTGTAGTCATTTCTACCAAACGAATGATTCTGAGACAGTTCTTTTTGTGAATCAAACAATTGTGCTGCAACATCTAAGAGACATCTGAGATGTCAGTACACACAGTTTTTGTCAGTAGCATTTGATAAAGAATAATAATAATAATGTATGAATTAATAAATGAAAAATCAGTGTTCTTTAAGAAATAGTTAAGGCCAAAAATTCTCCTTTTGCAAGAAGTGTTTTAAAAAGGTAAAGTATTATTAATGTTATTGAAATTATTATTTTCACCTTAAATATTTATTTCTTTAAACTAAAAGAATTATTAATCGTTAAGGCGAACCTGATTTTATTTATTTTTTTGATTCCATATACACTGTAAACAAATTTCCACCTATTTTTACTTCAGTTGCTGCCTTAAAATTGTAAGCATACTCAACTTGGTTGTACAAGTCATTTCGACTTACATTCAAATGACAAACTGATTTTAAACTGATTTTAAAAATCAAGTTGAATTTCCTATAACTTTCCTAAAAGTTGAAATTGCTCAACTTTTTATTATTAAGCTACTACTAAATATTGTAGAAACTTAATTTTCTGTAAAATTGCTTTGCAACGATTTGTATCGTAAAAAGCGCTCTACAAATAAACTTGAATTGAATTGAATTATTTTGATGAGTTCAAGTAATGCAAAAATATAAGACTGATCATATAATTTTTACAGTGTAGAGAAATTACCATAGTAGATGCTAGAGGCTTCCCAGGAGGTGCTGGTGAAAAAGCAGTGACGCTGTTTCCTATCGACAGCTTCATGTAAAATTCATGTCAAATTCTCCAACCAGCCACCCCCTCACTATGCCCTCCCCTCAACGGCCCCATTCAACCTTCCCTTCTCTTTTGCAGCATTCCTGTCTGCCCTCATCACAATAGGTGACTGCCACACGAGAGACAGTTGCCAGAAACACTTTGCCACACCTTCCCCTTGTTGTTCTCCCGTCTCACTCCACAGAAACACATGAGCTTCGATAAGAAGCCAAGTCCTTGTGCGAACAGCCAGCTTCTCCAGATGGCAGTGAGGGAAGGGAGGAACGGGAAAAAACAGAAACACCTTGTATTTGCTCACAGGGCGAGAAAAGATCTGGATTTGATCAGTTGACACCGAATGAAATGACAATTTTGGGGGCTAGGCTGCTATTATTTCACAGATCAGAGCATTTAAATAGGACCTGCCTGTTCAGTCTGTGTGCTTTTCTGAGGAATGTTGTCCCTGCTTTTTGTTATTCCTGCCAGCTTGATCAAGGTCGTCTTCCTTTTTAGTTATTAGTCTGCATGCTCCCTCTGCTGGCTGCTCAGGGGGAAATAAAGGAAGAAAGATGGGGGGGCTCAGTCAGCAAATGTATGTGTGAGGGGCCTGGGGGCAAACAAGCTGTTTCTGACTGGTAAGGAGAGACCTGAAAATTAGGCACTAATGATAGGTGAATCAGCATTTCCAACGGATTTATGGTGGATTCTCAGTCAGACTCTAATAGAGTCATTAAAATGAGGGGTCAAGTGCTCCCTGTGCTGACTGTTAGTATCAGATAGATTTACTGACTCTCAGAGACACTTTATATAGGGGACGGTGCATGCCACTAAGCATTGTTTTCCTTTCCAGTTGCGTGCTGTGAAGTAAACCTAATTTATTTTATCGAGAGGCTAAGTTAGCACTTAGTTTATTCTTCAATAAATTCATCCACTGCTTAACTCTGGCTGTCTCTCGCTGCCTCTGATAGTCTGTCATCGCAGGCCTGCTCTGAGCAGACATGAGCATCTGGGTGTCTTTTTGAAGTTCCCAGGTGTGAGCTCACAGGCAGATGCACTTCCGTTTTGAGTTGAAAGTCCTTCACACTCTCGTCAAGTTGTTTTTACAGCGCTACTTTTGCTATAATTCTTTCCCCCCACTCTACCGTGGCATCCCTCGCACTGAGCTACCTTAAAAAGCAGACAGATGGGACTAAACAGCAGGTAGATAAATGCTGATAGCACCTTGACGAGCCCTCAGACAAAACAAGGGGTCTTGTGAAAGAGAGCGCTTAAATGAGGCAAAGCAGCTGCTTTCTAGGGGCTGCGAGAATTGGTTTGTTTCATCCTTTTTGCGGCCTCCACCTCCACTCTGTAATTTGCCAGTCAGCCCCAGTTTAATAGCATTTAAGAACTGCTAATATGTCAGCGTTTTGCACTTGAGTGATGTTAACATCCCCAAACTTTGTCTGTTGCAAAAAAAGAATGGGCCAATGAATAGCAAAGTAGCATTTTATTCAAATGAAACTCTTTTAAATTAATTAAAAAATCTGCAGTTCTGTGGTGCAGGTAATTAAAGATAGATTAATGCTCAAGCTAATGCAGTCGTCTGCCCAGTTCAGCACCTTGGAGAGCGCCACCTTCTCAGCTCAAATGTAGGGCAGTGAGTTTCAGCACCATAGACAGCGGTCATCAGATCTTGCTGGAAAGCCAATATAGTCGGTGTGCTGTACTAACTGACACACTCAGACGAACTGCTCCTCCGTGTACCCGACTCTCACCTCTCGGGTAGTTTGTCTGCTCCTCTCGCAGTTCCTTGCCAGAAGTCCTTTGCCTCTCAGCTCTCTAGGCTAAGAGTGATTGAAGAAACCTCCCAGTGCTATTAGGCCACCATGCTCAATTGCCCCATAAGTCTCCACCCTGACCACTGACTCAGTGTAGCATTAGATTTTGTGATACATCACCAAAAAAAAGAAAATAAAGAAAGTCTACTTTTCCTTTTAGTTTCACCCAGCATGCTCTGGAATGTTCTTGAACTTGTCCTTGACAAAGGGCCCTTGTCTCTTTACAGTAGTAACTGTCATCCACTTGGGAAAGAACAAGCTGTAGACTGTCTTTCTTCTGAAGGAAACTGAGCAAGTAAGCAGCAAGTCTTTTGTTTTGGATTTTGCCTCTGGCCCTCTAGGGGCGACGAGACGCCCTGGACAGGCTAAACACAAGGTGTGTTGTGATTCAGGAACGGTACTTGCTGGGGTCAGCTCATGGCTAGGGATTACGCTGGAGAAACGTGCATAGCTTTCCAACCTTCTCAGCAGGCCATGGAACAACATTAAACTGGATTAGGAGCGTCACTCACCCTCTCATCAGGTCGAAATTTTTACGTTGTCTAGCCAACCTCGCTATTCTTATTCTGTTGTCATGAGAACATTTTCTATGCATACAGAGACCAAACCCTATATGTGTTGTTAATTAATATTACTCAAATAGTACATATTTGTGTAGTTATTTATAGAATTGGATGCATGTATTTATAATTTAATGTGTGCTGTGATTTATGTTTATCTGTGCGGTCTGTTAAAATCCTTACTGAGAAGTTATAGCATCAGTGTGAGTCTGTCCCAGATCTTGTTCCCATTCCATTGCTCTCGCTTTCTCACCTTGACTTCCTGCCTTCTATTTCATGTATCCATAAAATGAGGCCAAATAATAAAAAATAATCATCACTTTTACAGCCATAAACATGCAGACAGATGTCTTAGGCTATTGTGTCGCGACTCCCGCTGCAACAATGTGTCTTATTTAAAGTCCCCATAAGAAACTTGTCTGAAAACCTAACCTAATTATACAGGGCTTAAAGCCTAATGGATTTTAAAACTATATAGCTTTGCACATCCCTAGTACTGGTCCTAAATCCAGCCTCTGCTGACGGCTGCCGTAAATTCCTCTGTGATGCTTTTACAAGCTTCAAACGTCTCTGTGTCTGATGGAACAGCCCTTGTCTGGCAACACATCCACAAGTGAGCAAAATCATCATGTACAACACATTATGTGACACTTGGCAGATGCTACACTCCTGTTAGAGGTGAGTTACGGAAGCAAGCATTTGCCAAATTCAAGGATATTCCTCTCATTGCTCAGGTAAAGATTTGTTGCCGGCTATATGCATAGACGTTTCAGATGTAATCACTTTAATTAGATAAATATGGCTAATGAAGCAGGCCATTGGCTGGCAGTAGGCTAATGTTTCAGCATTTGTTTTCTGTGGAGCGATACATTTTTTTTCCCCCAGGTAAACTGACAAGCGCACCGTAATACAGGGCTAGTTCATGTTATCGGAAATCTGACTGGCTGTCAATTTCCCGGCTAATTTATCCCATCTGTTATTCATATGCAGCTTCAGGGGGACGGTGAGGAAGAATGGACAAACAAAATCAATCTGCAGACCCTATCTGCTACACATTTTCACAGATATGATGACAGCAAATAGTGTCATCACATTTCACGGTGTGCAAATCCAGGGAGGGTCTGTTTGGCTGACATGTCAGTACAAAAACGACACATCTGTGATGGTGTAATGAAATCTGTTATGTTCGACTGTGAAATGTTAAACCCCTTGAACAGATCAGATTAACATTGAAAAGTTTTGACATGAGGTCAATCAGGAGTGCCGTTTTCTGTGCACATTTGGTACACAACCATGTTTTAGATCATTATTTTCAATAGTGGCCTTAAGTATTAATTAAGTTGATGGTTTTCTGTGACCCTCTCTATTCCTCTCAGTATTGTCCTATTTTTTGCCTCTTGGGTGGGATTTGTCCTAAATTCTTCACACAACGTTTGGTCTAAAAATGTATTCGTACTTTGATGTGACCATATTTATTTGCTACACATGGATCGGCTTTTTCCTCTGAACAACTCATTTCAAAGTTACTCGGGCCTTCATTAGTCCCTCAATGTCCTTATCATGTGTCTTCATACACTACAGCAAATGCTGCCCTTGAGAACCTTCACAAGATCCACTTCAGGCTATTTTTCTCCTTTTCTCTGTTCAGGCGACAGTAAGAACTCCTTTTTTCTCTGTGCAACCACAGCAAAAGAAGATCCCACCAGGGAATTACAAGCAGAATTAAAATCTAAAGCAGGAGGAGGGGGGACGGAGGGTAAAAATCTCCCACAATCCCTTTCCTCTGCTCAGTACTTAAACATAATTTTAACATAATCATTTATCAGATCCTAGGAAGGAGTTTCTCAGATGTTACAGCCTTTTTGTTTCGTTTCCGAATGATGTCGCAGCTTAGAAAGATCCAGAGGATATGTGTCGAACAGAAGGTGACCTTTGCCCCAATATGTTGTTGTTAAAGCATTCAGCCCGCAGCCACATACTAACTCACTCCCCCTGGGGGTTTACCATCTTTGTTCACATCCTGAATGGAGCTCATAATAAATACATTTAAAGGACCGTGCATACTTTACCATTTGCATAGACATCAGAATGACAGATTAATGTCAAATCCACCTGCAAATGTCAGCAAAAGTTGAGCAAAATAGCAAAAGATGTGATGAAAGCCAACATCTCTGCTACTTCACAGCCGTCTATGCTTGGCATGATCACTGCTGATTCGGTTTCCTCCATTCTTGAACTTTAAGGCAAGCAAAGATGTAAAATGAATCCAAACAGGTGTTGGAAATCCCAACATTTCACAGACAATTATTTTGTCAATGGCTTACTTAGTGATCCTCCTTTGTGGGCCCTTTCAAAATGGAGAGAATTTCATTTCACAGCCATCAAGAAGAACAGTGGCTTTATTCCCAGTTGACAGTTACTTGTTTTTTTCCTGCATGATTTCTCGCCTTAGAGTTGTTTGTGTGTTGTTAGGAGTCGCTGTGTTTGTTGTTCATGTTACGGTGCTTTGGGAATGACCCTAATGTGGAGGGAGAGGCAAAGAGGCCTGTATAATCGCTGTGTCAGAATGTTTCATAAACAGCTTAGTTGCGAGAGGATGCTTTTAAATATAGATGCAACATAATGAAGAAAGAAAGGAAAAATATAAAGTTGGGTGAAAAGATATTGTGTGAGAATAGGATCCGGCGTACTGCATATATTGGTTTGGGTTTATATTGCATTTTAACTTTTTTCGACCTCCACAGCAGCCTCTCCCACAAGCGGTTTTCTTTGGAAAGTTTGGCACTATATTTTTTTTCATGGCGGAGAAGTAAATATGTAAATACTTTTAACACTTTCTCAAGTTTTTGGAGTGTTAAAATTGACTGTCTAAATTTTGAAACACATAAACTGCATCAGTTATATACTTAAAGCGATATGAGAAGTAGGTCACTGACATTTTTCCACAGAATCACACAAGCTCTTTTTTTGACCTTGCAAAGATTGAGCGAATGCCAAATGCATGTCACAAACAACAGTTCAGTGTCAAGTGAACTCGGTGTGCTCAGTGTTTTATAATGTTTTCTTCCTTAAAGGAATAGTTCACGCAAAAATGAAAATTTGTTGAAAATGTACTCACCCTCAGGACATCCTAGATGTAGATGAGTTTGTTTATTCATGGGAACAGATTTGGATAACTTTAGCATTACATCACTTGCTCACCTCTGGATCCTCTGCAGTGAATGGGTGCCATCAGAATGAGAGTCCAAACAGCTGATAAAAACATCACAATAATCCACAAGTAATCCAAAAGCCTCCAGTTAATCAATTAACATCTTGTGAAGTAAAAAGCTGTTTATAATGAAAAAAAAAAATTTCTAGCCATGATATTTTTCTCTTGTAAAAAAAAAAGTAGTCTCTTCTGAATCAGGAGAGAAATATGGGTAACACTTTATTTTGTTGGTCGCTTTTGAGCATTCTGTTGACAGTAAGTAACGTTGCACCTACATGTCAGCTAACTCTCATTAGAGTATTAGTAGACTGTCTGCTTAATATCGGCTAACTCTTTATTGTGATGGTGTCCCAACAGACATTCTACTGACTATAAGTAACTTTGCTAGTAAGTCAACTTATTCTAACCCTACCAGACTACTAATAGTCTACTAACAATCTAATGAGAGTTGGTAGATATGTAGGTGCAACATTATTCCTAGTCAACAGAATGTATTAAAGGGACCATCAAAATAATGTGAAACCAAAATATGCAAAGATCAAACACAGTTTGCCAGCAAAGACAGTCCAAAACAATTTGGATGTGAGAGGACAACAGGAGATTGACTTTTTAAGCCTCGGATTATGGCCAGACAGTTAATGATTGATTTGTTTCTTAAAAACAAGCATCTTTTAACTAGAGAAGACATTATTTGTTCGACTGGATTACTTGTACATTCTGATGTTTTTATCAGCTGTTTTGGACTCTCTTTGGATTCTGACGGCACCCATTCACTGCAGAGAATCCATTGGTGAACAAATGATGAAATGCTGAGTTTCTCCAAATCTGTTGAAGACGATGAAGAAACAAACTCCAGAATTTCGAAATTTGGAATTCTGAAAATAATTTAATAGCTTTTATGGAATTATATCTGTACAAACTACTATTGCTATTTGTTTTTAATACATAGTTTTACATTTATGTTATTTATTTTGTAAACTGCATTAGACTTCACAGTAAATTAATAATATAAGCATATATATTTTCACAAAAAATGTCATTTTTTGTTGTTGAGCCAGCACAAATGTTGGCAGCGACAGTAAAAATCTGCCACTATTATTCTGACCAGACCAGCAGAAAAAAGTCTTTATCTGATATGAACACTAGTCATTCATTTCATAGTAAAGAGAGGAAAGGAGCATAATAATTATATCAGTCCTGAAACTAGAGCAGATTAAATATTACATTTTTGTCTATTAATTGACAATCTGCTTGGCCCTGAATGACATATCCTCAAATATCCATATTTCAGGGTTTATTGAAGGCTTTTTAATATAACAGAATAAAACATGTCTGGATAAGTAGAGGAATAGAGGCCTTAAAATCGCCAGATAGCTAATTAGATGGCTTCGGCTTTAAGCAGGGTTGCTCTATGCCAATTCACACGTCTCCTACACAAGACTGCAGAGGATTGTGGTGTGCCATCGTGGACTGCTCAGTCCCATCTCATGAATATGCTAATTCGTTCGGAGGCCACCCCTCTGAGTTCCCATACCCCACTTTACATTTAACTTTCACAGCCTGTCAATGTCATCCACACTGACTAGTTTGACCTGTGCTGACGAAATGTCAAAACCCAAACGTGTGGGATCTCCTGGCTATGAGTTTAGAGCTGTGGCAAATCTCTCTGTGTGTTTTATTAGCACAGGGATTCAATATGGCTTTTCTGTAGATTTACAGTGCATGTGATGGGAAGTGTCACACTGCAACCTG